GTGCAGCAAACTTCATTATCTTAGGAAGTTGCCACAGCCACTGCAGCATCAGCAACTACCACCATGATCAGTCTAGCAGCCATCAACATAGAGGCAAGACCCTGCACTAGCAAGAAGATTGTAACTTGCTGAAAGCTCTAATGATGGTTAGCATTTTTTAGCAATATTGCACATATAATGGACTACAGTATACAGTTGTTCCTTGAACAACTCAGGGGTTAAGGGAGCTGAGCCCCAGATAGTTGAAGTCTTCATATAACTTTTGACTCCCCCCTCACCTCCCTTTGCCCACTCCAAAACTTAACTAATAGTCTGCAGTTGATTGGAAGTCTTAACCAATAATGTAAACAGTTGATGAACACATATTTTATATATTATATGTATTATGTACTGTATTAACAATAAAGTAAGTTGGAAAAAGTTATTAAAACATCCTAAGGAAAACACATTTATAGTACTCTACTGTATTTATCGAAAATACCCACATATCAATAGACCTGTGCAGTTCAAATCTATATTATTCAGTGGTCAACTTTAGTGTAAACGTAACTTTTATATGCACTGGGAAACTCAGAAATTCATTTGACTCATCTTAATGCGATATTTGCTTTGTTGGGGTAGCCTGGAACCAAGCCTACATTATCTCTGAGGTATGCCTATAATAATGGTCCTAGGACTAGAGGCGTTGTGTATGGCCTGAGGATAGGTTCTTGGATAGACTTAGCATAAACTAGGAGGAAACAAATGGGAGGAGGTTATGAGCCCAAGAAATAAAAGGGGTTGAGTCCAAGGTTCCCAAAAGAGGAAGTAGGAGACTCACCCAGGAGATTAGGTGCCTGATATAGAAGGGCTAAAGTGGGAAAAAGGTGGGTAGGTGCGAAATATTGAGTGGCCTGACTTTGGCAGTTTCAAAATAGAAGAAAATTATCTTGTATGTACTAACTCCACAATAATCATATGCTCTGTTTAGGCACCCATTCTATACCCTTATCCTCAGGTATCCTTACTTTCCTAATTGTTATGGTTAAAAAGTATTTGCTAAAGAGTTTTAAGAAGGTATTCTTTGAGAGGCCATGTTATTCCTGCTAGAAACATATACATTTGAAGTAGGAACTCTTGATTAAAATTTAGAAGATTGGAAAGAATAACATTCCTTGCTGCTGCTTTATAAAGGAAAGGAGGGAAAGAGGAAGGAGAAAGTAATGCAATATTTAAATTTAAAAATTTTCAGTTTAATAATTTCAACACAAATAAAATTCAATACAGAACTAAAACATGGAAGTTTCTTTTTCCTTTTTTTTTAGATTTTATTTTTTAAAAAAGATTTATTTATTCATTTATTTGACACAGAGAGAGAGAGAAATCACAAGTAGGCAGAGAGACAGGCAGAGAGGGAGAAGCAGGCTCCCCGCTGAGCAGAGAGCCCAACATGGGGCTCAATCCGAGAACCCTCAGATCATGACCTGAGCCAAAGGCAGAAGCTTAACCCACTGAGCCACCCAGGTATGCCAGATTTTATTTATTTATTTATTTGACACAGAGAGAGAAACAGCAAGAGAGGGAACAGAAGCAGGAGGAGCGGGAGAGGGAGAAGCAGGCGGAGTGGGAAAGGGAGAAGTAGGCTCAATGCGGGCCTTGGTCCCAGGACCATGGAATCGCAACCTCAGCCCAAGGCAGACGCTTACTGCCTGAGTTACCCAGACACCCCTTTCCTTTTTTAAATCAGATCTCTTTTCCTTGAGATAATTCTGTGGTTCTTTAATATAAATTCACAAATGTGTGGGGCCCTGGGATCAAGCCCTGCTTTGGGCTCCTTGCTTAGTGGGGAGCCTGCTTCTGTCTGTCTCTGCCTGACACTACCCCTACTTGTGCTCTCTCTCTCTGTCAAATAAATAAATAAAATCTTTAAAAAAATACAGAAGTGTACATAAAGTATATATAGGTAATATTTCAAAAATGACAGTTTTTAGGGGCACCTGGGTGGCTCAGTCAATTAAGCATGATCCCAGGGTTCTAGGTTCTGGGATCAGGCCTCACTCACATCAGGCTCCCTGCTCAGCTGGGAGCCTACTTCTCCCTCTCCCTCTGCCCCTCCCTCTGCTCATGCTTGCGTGCACGCGTACGCTCTCTCTCTCAAGTAAGTAAAATATTTTTTTAAAAATGAGATTTTTTGCAAATATCTTCTCCCATTCCGAGGGTTGCCTCTTTGTTTTGTTGACTGTTTCCTTTGCTGTGCAGAAGCTTTTGATTTTGATGAAGTCCCAAAAGTTTATTTTCGCTTTTGTTTCCTTTGCCTTTGGAGACATATCTTGAAAGAAGTTGCTGTGGCTGATATCGAAGAGGTTACCGCCTATGTTCTCCTCTAGGATTCTGATGGATTCTTGTCTCACGTCGAGGTCTTTTATCCATTTTGAGTTTATTTTTGTGTACGGTGTAAGAGAATGGTCGAGTTTCATTCTTCTACATATAGCGGTCCAGTTTTCCCAGCACCATTTATTGAAGAGACTGTCTTTTTTCCACTGTATATTTTTTCCTGTTTTGTCGAAGATTATTTGACCATAGAGTTGAGGGTCCATATCTGGGCTCTCTACTCTGTTCCACTGGTCTATGTGTCTGTTTTTATGCCAGTACCATGCTGTCTTGGTGATCACAGCTTTGTAGTAAAGCTTGAAATCAGGTAATATGATGCCCCCAGTTTTATTTTTGTTTTTCAACATTTCCTTAGCGATTCGGGGTCTCCTCTGGTTCCATACAAATTTCTGGATTATTTGCTCCAGCTCTTTGAAAAATACTGGTGGAATTTTGATCGGAATGGCATTAAAAGTATAGATTGCTCTAGGCAGTATAGACATTTTAACAATGTTTATTCTTCCGATCCAAGAGCATGGAATGGTCTTCCTTCTTTTTGTGTCTTCTTCAATTTCTTTCATGAGTGTTCTGTAGTTCCTCGAGTACAGATCAAAAGGTTGATCCAGGATCTATAAAGAACTCCTCAAACTCAACACACACAAAACAGACAATCATATCGAAAAATGGGCAGAAGATATGAATAGGCACTTCTCCAATGAAGACATACAAATGGCTATCAGACACATGAAAAAATGTTCATCATCACTAGCCATCAGGGAGATTCAAATTAAAACCACATTGAGATACCACCTTACACCAGTTAGAATGGCCAAAATTAGCAAGACAGGAAACAACATGTGTTGGAGGGGATGTGGAGAAAGGGGAACCCTCTTACACTGTTGGTGGGAATGCAAGTTGGTGCAGCCACTTTGGAGAACAGTGTGGAGATTCCTCAAGAAATTAAAAATAGAGCTTCCCTATGACCCTGCAATTGCACTACTGGGTATTTACCCCAAAGATACAGATGTAGTGGAAAGAAGGGCCATCAATGTTTATAGCAGCAATCGCCACGGTCGCCAAACTGTGGAAAGAACCAAGATGCCCTTCAACGGACGAATGGATAAGGAAGATGTGGTCCATATACACTATGGAGTATTATGCCTCCATCAGAAGGGATGAATACCCAACTTTTGTATCAACATGGACAGGACTGGAAGAGATTATGCTGAGTGAAATAAGTCAAGCAGAGAGAGTCAATTATCATATGGTTTCACTTATTTGTGGAGCCTAACAAATAGCATGGAGGACAAGGGGAGTTAGGAGAAGGGAGTTGGGGGAAATTGGAAGGGGAGGTGAACAATGAGAGACTATGGACTCTGAAAAACAATCTGAGGGTTTTGAAGCAGCGGGGGGTGGGAGGTTGGGGGAACCAGGTGGTGGTTATTGGAGAGGGCACGGATTGCAGGGAGCACTGGGTGTGGTGCAAAAACAAGGAATAATGTTATGCTGAAAAAAAAAAGATATTTTAATGTTTAGTTCTGCATTTTGTTTTGTTTTTTACTTAATTCTTAGATATAAAATTATATAATGGCATGCACAGACTTTTGGGAAAGATGCTTTGACATGGGGTGGGGGACTTTATACTCTATTTACTCTTACCACTATTCATCATTTATTAACATGAAGCATTGTTCTGTTTACATGCTGGCCAGGCATGCCATTAGCCTATTTATTTATTTATTTATTTATTAAAAGAGCTGATTTATTTATTTGACAGACAGAGATCACAAGTAGGCAGAGAGGCAGGCAGAGAGAGAGAGGGAAGCAGCCTCCCGTTTGTGTAAAGAGCCCGCCATGGGGCTTGATCCCAGGACTCCAAGACCACGACCTGAGCCAAAGGCAGAGGCTCAACCCACTGAGCCACCCAGGTGCCCCGCCATAAGCCAATTTAATAACTTTTACCCATATTGAAGGAGTTGTTAAATGTCCTTGTTTATTATAATGTATATAAATGATCTGAACATATACATATAGGAAGATAACGTTTTTATAATTTTTTTAGACTTTATAAAATACTTAAGGATTGGGTAATAGATACTGTATCGGATATCAGAAGATCTTGGTTCTGTTTATTTTTCTTTCAACTAACCCATTGTGTAACTGTGGAAAGAAATTTTTCTTCCAAAATTAAAAATGTTTTTGGTGTTTATAATTCTACATGTGTATTTATTAACTAATAAGTTGTTCTTAAGTATGGTTTAGAAGATAGGAACTCACTCAAGTGTTACACCAAAGGATAGTCAGAAGCCCTGTAGGCTAATGTGAATTAGATGTTTGCAGCATGTATTTAGCTTTGTCACCATGGGGAGTCATTCTCAAAATCTTTCTTGCTCTGTCTTTTACACAGGTTTGGTTAAGTCTCTTAACTGGGTCTTAATTTTCGTATTTGTAAAACAGAATGGTTGGGCTGAAGATGGTTGAGTTAATTTTACATGAATGACTTGAAAGTTTTTAAATATTTTTTGAAGGAGGATACCTTTATAATCTATGAGTGTTTTCAAACAAATACATATAGATAAGGAAGATTTTAGAACTGTTCCAAATTGAGGTATAAATTTTTGTATCATTTCTTTTTTTTTTTCCTCCTAAAGCTCCTAAAAGACGACGGCCTGCACGTTCAATATTTGATGGTTTCCGAGATTTTCAAACTGAAACTAGTAGGTATCTTTTACCGGTTTATTATCTCTCTATTTTCTTGCTTCTCCCCGCTTTTTCTCCCACACAGAAAACCACAAGATGGAAAAGCACCCATATACTCTCCTACAGGTCAGGATCATGGTTTGTTTTATATAGTTTTTCCTAAAAAGAAAAAGATGATTAATATCAGGCGTAATTACTTTGAGGAGTCACCTTGTTTTATTTATTTTTTTATTTTTTTAAGATTTTATTCATCCATTTGACAGAGAGAGATCACAAGTAGGCAGAGAGGAGGCGGAGAGAGAGGGGGAAGCAGGCTCCCCACCAAGCAGAGAGCCTGATTCGGGGCTCGATCCCAGGACCCCGGGACCATGACCTGAGCCGAAGGCAGAGGCCCTAACACACTGAGCCACCCAAGCACCCCAGTCACCTTATTTTAAAAGGAAATTATGAATTCAGTCTGTGATTGTTACTAACTTCCCCTTGAGCTAAATTGTTCCAAATGCTAACCTAACTGGTGATAGAAAAATAATAATAATGATGCAGAAATGTAAGAAATCTGGTAATTTACAAAGTAAATTAACTTTTGAATGAACACTTAAATGCTGACTATAATAAAAGAAAAAGATGGTTTCCCTCAAGATCCTGACATCTTACCTCACATGAGTCAGAATGGCTAGTATGAAATAGACAAGAAATAAGTATTGGCAAAGATACAGAGAATGGGGAACTCTTGTGAACTGTTGATGGGATTGCAAATTGGTGCAGCCACTATGGAAAACAATATGGAGGTTCCCACCAAAATTAAAACTAACAATACCATATGACCTAGTAATTATAATTCTGGGTATTTATCCTAAGAAAACGAATATGCATCCCTTTGTTTATTGCAACATTTTCAGTAGCCAGGTTATGGAAGCAGTGTAAGTGTCCCATCAATAGATGAATGCATAGAAAAGATGTGGTATTTACATGGTGGAATATTACTAAGTCACAGAAAAGAATGAAACCTCACCATTCATAGCAACATTGTGGACCTTGAGGGTATTATGCTAAATGATATAAGTCAGACAAAGAAAAATACCATATGATTACACATATGTGTGGTATCTAAAGAACAAAACAGAACAAACAAGTGAAAAAGAGACTCCTAGGTACAGAGAATAAATTGGTTGTTGCCAGAGAGGAGTGGGAGGATAAGCAGAATAGATGAAGAGGATTAAGAGGTACAAACTTCCCATTATAAGATAAGTCACAGTGATGAAAACTACAACATTGGGAATATAGTCAGTTAATACTGTAATAACCTGTATGGTGATAAAGGGTAACTATATTTAACAGTGGTGAGCATTTTGTAATGTATATAATTATCGAATCGCCATGTTTTATACCTGAAACTAAAAAAATATTGTATGTCAACTGTACTGTAGAACAATAAATGACTAATTGGTAGAAAAAAGGAAATCCTGAAATCTGTCAGTTAAAGGAATGACTCAATGAAAATGCTTATTATAGGGGATTGAAAAACAGAAAAGGAAAAAGCCACACTACCCAAAGCAACCACTCTTTAACATTTTGGCTACAGTTGTTTGGAATAGGTTTATAACTTTCTGTGAAGTAAGTTAGAATGAGATTCTTGGCCGCATACTTTTAGAGGATTCAGTGGTGATTTAGCCATGGAATCTTAAAGAAAAGGAGATTTGTTTAGAGAATATGAAAAACCACTGGACCATGCTTGATTTTGTAGTTGATTTATAATGAGCTCATTGCAGCACAGATAGATCTTAAAACTTTGAAGAGAGTTGAAGGGGAACCCAGACTGATTCATGTTATCCAGGGAAGTCTGTACCCTTCCCGGAGAAGGTGACAAGAAGTGGTCTTTCTCTCTCACTATCAGAATCTTTAAAGATTGGGAATGTAGCTAGAAACAACAGATACATTAGGCTCACTTTCAGAACTGGATAAATGGAGATGAAAATTTTCTCCTGTGCTCAAGTTTGCTTGGAATATGAGAAGGAAATATTTTGATTAGGTGACTCTACTGTAAAGCTTTTGTCCTTACATTTGAATTTGAGCAGCACTAAGTCTTAAGAGTCTCCCCACCTTGCTTTGTCTGTGTTTCAGAATCAGCATTAGCTATTTACATTTGCATGAGGTCAGGCATGTTGTTCAGTAGTTCTTGCAGTTGATGCATGTTTTTATATTTTGAGATTCATGCTTTTATTTTCTGGCTAACTAAAACTTTTCTATCCTCTTGTGTTGCAGTTCGGCAAGAACAGGAATTAAGAAATGGAGGAGCAATTGATAAGAAACTAACTACCCTTGCAGATCTCTTCCGGCCACCCATTGACTTGATGCATAAAGGCAGCTTTGAAACAGTAAGTTTTTGGAAATTATAAGCCTTAGCTATGAATCCTTTTGCATTTTCAGTGCCATTTTTTTCTTTCTAGGAACAAAAAATTTTTCAGAATACGGAGAATTGGCATCTTAATAAGTATGACACAAATATGAAATACCTAAAAGATTGCACTGATTTATATTTCTACCAGCAGTATTTGAGATTGTTTCATAAAATCCGTTTATTACGCTTGTGTGGTATCACTTAAGAGTTTTTGTCATTTGGTAGTTTTTTTTTTTTTTAATCTTACTTTTTTTAGTTTGTGTTTCTTTGATCACTACTGAGAATAGTGTGCCTGTGTTTATTGGCTTTGCCAATATTTCTATGGGGATCCTATTATATATATATATTTTAAAGATTTTATCTATCTATTTATTTATTTACTTTAAGATTTTATTTATTTATTTGACAGACAGAGATCACAAGTAGGCAGAGAGGCAGGCAGAGAGAGAGAGGAGGAAGCAGGCTTTCCATGGAGCAGAGAGCCCAACTCAGGACTCGATCCCGGGACCCTGAGATCATGACCCGGGCCGAAGGCCTCAGAGGCTTTAACCCACTGAGCCACCCAGGCGCCCCAAAGATTTTATCTATTTATTTGACAGAGATCACAGGTAGGTAGAGAGGCAGGCAGAGGGCGGGGGGGGGGGGGGGGGGGGGGGAGAGGGGGAGCAGGCTCCCCGCTGAGCAGAGAGCCCAGGACCCTGAGATCATGACCTGAGCCGAAGGCAGAGGCTTAACTCACCAAACCACCCAGGCGCCCCAAGGGATCCTATTGTATTTTAAAAGAATATCTGTGTAGTACCAGAAGATATTCTCCTCCAGTTTTCTGGTTTTAATTTGGCTAAAGCCCAAGAAAAACTTTACAGAGCAGGTTTATGTGATTGCTAAATTATAAGCTTAATGAGGGCAGGGGTAATATGTTTCTTTTTATTTTGGTAATCCTTGGGATCCAATTTCTGGCTTTTGTTGTTGTTGTTGTTGTTGTTGTTGTTGTTAGATTTTATTTATTTATTAAAGTGAGAGGAAGAAAGCAGGAGCTAGGGGGGAGGAGCATAGGGAGAGGGAAAAGCAGATTCCCTGCTGAGCCAGGGACATCCTCCCACCCCCAGCCAAAGGCAGATGCTTAACTGACTGATCCACACAGGTGCCTCCAGTTTCTGGTATTTTATAGAAACATAGTATCTGTTAAATGAATGAGTTTGCTTAGAATTTTCAATATTCTGTTGCTGTGTTTAGACAGTTGCTTTTGTGTATTAACTAGCATGTTAATACTCTTGAGTCAGAATAGCATTTCTGTAGATGTAAATCACATTTCAGGTAGGACTTTTCTGTTAGCATAAAGTAGGCCAAATAACACTGACAAAAATAATGCTTGTAGCTGCATATTTGGAAGTGAGTTACGATTTTTTTTTAAAGATTTTATTTATTTATTTGACGGAGATCACAAGTAGGCAGAGAGGCAGAGAGAGAGGAGGAAGCAGACTCCCCGTGGATGCAGGGCTCAATCCCAGGACGCTGGGATCATGACCTGAGCTGAAGGCAGAGGCTTTAACCCACTGAGCCACCCAGGCGCCCCAGTCATGATTGTTTTTTAAAAGATTTTGTACTTTGACATACTCTTAGAGTAGCCTAAATGAAATACTGAGGATTAAAAATTTAACTAAGCCTGTACTTCAGTTTTAATTTTCTGAATTGTAAAACCTGAAAGTGTTTGGCTGCTTGTAACAGAAAATCCAAATGATAGTGATTTGTCTAAGCCTGCCTGCCTGCCTGCCTTCCTTCCAGGCTTTATTCACCTATTTGAGGGGAGAGACAGAGCACAAGCATTGGGAGGGGCAGGCACAGAGAGGGAGAAGCAGGCCCTTCACTGAGCTTGGAATGCCATCTGGGGCTCAACCCTAGAACCCCAGACCATGACCCAAGCCAAAGGCAGACACTTAACCGACTGAGCTACCCTGAAGCCCCAAGCGTTTCTTTTTGTCATGTAAGTAAGACCAGAGTTGAGAGTCTTTGATGATTCATTAGTCAACTCAAAGATGTTTTCTTCTTGGGGCACCTGGGTGGCTCAGTGGGTTAAGCCGCTGCCTTCGGCTCAGGTCATGATCTCAGGGTCCTGGGATCGAGTCCCGAATCGGGTTCTCAGCTCAGCAGGGAGCCTGCTTCCCTTCCTCTCTCTCTGCCTGCCTCTCTGCTTACTTGTAATCTCTCTCTGTCAAATAAATAAATAAAATCTTAAAAAAAAGATGTTTTCTTCTTGGCCTAGTGCTCTAAATATGGCAGCTGCCTATCCTTTCTTCTGTTCTGGTGTTCAGCCTTAAGAGAGAATAGCAGCAATATGAAAGACAAAAAGGATCTGAGTTTGTTTTGCCATGTTTTCCATTTTTTAGTAGCTTCTGAGATGCTCTAGGGCTTAATGAAATAACTATGAAGTTGGTTTAATTTGATCACTTTGGATTCATAAAAGCAGTTACTCTGCTGCTTGTTCTTTGAGGGGAAATGTGAATCTTTTTTGATATTATCTGACATTTGATTCACTTTGTTAAGTTGTATCACCTTTTTTCTTTGTATTTCATGACCTGTATTATTCACAGCAGTCCATTTATTCACTGATAATCCTAACCTTTATTGTTTATAAATCTGTAAGTAAACAGTCCCACAAAAGGTAGGCATTTAATTATGACTAATGATGAATATTAGTTTTATAAAAATTGGGGAGGTAATATGCAACATTAAGTCACTGAAGATTAGGAAGGTGAATGTTAAAAATCAGAGGAACACTGGCTTCTCAGGCAGTGTCCATAGGTTTGGGCACTATCTTAGATGTATTTGAGCCAGTTTTACAGGTTTAGAAACTGGACTTTCTTAGTGTAATTAGAGGTAACGAAATGAGAGACTGATTAATTCACTTGTTTACTCATAACTATTTTTGATATGTATATACAGAGAGAGAGAGTGAGGGGGGAGAGAGAAAGAGAGGAGGAGGAATTTCAGGTTACAGTAGTTGCTGGGAGAAAGAATAAAATAGAATGAGGGAAGGAGAGAGAGGGCTATTTTTTGTTTAGGGCCATTAAGTATAAGTGTTTTTACTGGTAAATTGAAAGCAAGGTTGATTTCATTAATTTCATATAAGTTTATAACTCTGAGGGGATAGAACTATTTTATTTTAAAGATTTTTATTTATTTGAAAGAGCACACACACAAGATGGGGAGAGTCAGAGGGAGAAGCAACTCCCACCCAGCAGGGAGCCTGATGCAGGTCTCCAACCTGAGATTCAATATCATGACCTGAGCCAAAGGCAGTTGTTTAGCCAACTGAGACACCCAGGTGCCCCCAGAACTATTTTAGATAGGAAAATGAGGGAAGATTATGAAAGGATGAGATTCGATAGAAACCTGAATGGAGCGAGGGAGTGTGAATTATAGGAAGGTCCAGGGGAAGAGTAGACAAAAGAGTTAAATGTAAAGGAACTGGTACTGGAAAGACCTAGGCCTAGTTTGGATACAGCCAAGAAAACCAATGTAGCTAGAGGTGAGTGAGCAAAGCACTTCAGATGAATGATCTGACCTGAGCAATGGAACATTTCTTGGGTTTTCTTTTCTTTTTCTTTTTTCCTCTTTTTTTTTTTTCCCCTCAAAAAAGCTCCAAACCCAGCATGGAGTCCATTGCGGGGCTTGAACGCACAAGCCTGTGATCAAGAGTTGGATGATGAACGACTGAGCCACCCAGGCGCCCCTTGGGTTTTCTTATTTTTCTACTTAGCCCTTAAGTTCTGTGAACACAGGGACTTTGTTTTATTTACTGTTCCATAGTGCCTCTAAGAGTTTCTGGCACATAATTGGCCCTTGTTAAATCTTTGTTAAATTATTGAACAGCATAATCTGGAGTATATTGTACAGAAAGAATCAGAACAATTTCCTTGATATTCCCTATTTTAATAGGAAGTGTGTATTTGTTAAAATTGTCATTCAGTTACATATGCACCTAGTCATAATCACTAAGAGTATTTATTAATCTCAAAAGTACTTGCTATAAATGTGGGTAAAAGTAATTAACATTTCCATAAGAAAGTACTGGCATATTTTAATATTTCCTTTTTAGTTTTGTAGATATATATCTATTATTGGAACAAATTATTTTTTCTTCTGTATCCTTAATTTTCATACTTTCCTGATCTGTCTGGAACTGAGAGAGAGGTTAGTCTTTACTGTTCCCCCTTGTCATGATAAATCCCATCACATAACTCTCTGTTTGGTATAGCCACACTTGCCCTTGGGTCTTCCTGTAATGGCTTTTGACTATTGACTCAGAACAGCCTAATAGATTCCAAGAGGGAAGATTCATCATTGTCCCATGGTTCACTCTCACCTCCAGTACTTGACTGGAACATGGCAGGTTCTCAGTAAGTAACTGTTGAATGAATGAATCTGAATGAATGAAAGCATAAATGCAAGTAAATGAATTTTTTAAACACAGAAAACAAGTGATTTTATCATTTTTGAACTCTGGGCTTTATTTTTAAAAATATTTATTTTAGAGAGAGTAGGGAGGGGCAAAGTGGAGGGAGGGACAGAAGCAGACTCCCTGCTGAGCATGGAGGGCACCCCCCCTCAGGCGGGGGGAGCTCCACCTCATGACCCTGAAATCATGACCTGAGCCAAAATCAAGACTCAGCTGCAAAAAAAAAAAAAAAAAAAGTCAGCCATTTAGCTAACTGAGTGACCTCAGGTGCCCCTAAACTCTGAACTTTTATTATTTTTGGTTTTACATTGTTTTTCCTTGTCAGTGTTGTATTTGAAGCAGACATAAATTTATCTTGTTATAGGGGTATGTACTCTCCAGTCTGTCTCTCTAGAATGCGTTAATTTTTTCCTTTATTCTCAGATGCTTTTCTTCTTTTCTTTCCTTTTCTTTTTAGAGAGGGAGAGAGGGTTAGAGGGGTTAGAGGGAGAGAGAATCTTAAGCAGGCTCCACACTCAGCGTGGAGCTCAGTGCAGGGCTCAGTCTCATAGCCCTGAGATCATGACCTGAGGCAAAAATTAAGAGTTGGATGCTTAACCCACTGAACCACCCACACATTCCTCAAATACTTTTCTTCAGTTAAGACAGTTTACTTACTTCCCACCCATTTATTAAATCTATGTGAATGCTATAGGTATGGAAGTAAGTGGAGCATTATTACTTCTAGGAACAAGGAGTTATTATATTTGTATAATAAAATTCTTATTGTACTATAATTTAAAATAAGGCTTCAACCAGTTAAATACAGCTTCCTGGCTCAATACATGGATACTTCTTTTTAGAACTTGGGTTTTCACTTATGGGATCAGTGAATATTAGAAAATTGTTTGGGGGGGATTCATATAAAAAAACAAGTTAACAGTATTTGCAAGATTGTGAAAGCCTTAAAACAGAAGATATTCCTGGTTTTACATCTTACAATACTTCAGAAATGTTTATGTTCTTCAGTTGTTATTAAGCTGAGTGAATTGATCCTTAAGATTTTCTCATGTCAAACTGATAGGAAAATAATATTATTCTAGGACAGAATTACTCAAAACTGTACCTTTCATTTTAGATCTTATGCAGAGGTTTGAGGTAACATTTGCCTATTTGCCTTCCTGCTATTCTTTTCCTATTTGGCAATATTTTATAGGTCTTTGTGGTAATGAGGAACTGTGAAGCAAAAAGTACACATCCATGATTGATATTTGTACCATACAGTAGGGAGCCTTGGAGATCATACTGAAATATTCTGTGATGCTGTGATCTCATGTTTTGAAATCCATCTTTAGGAATAACAACCTTAGGAGAAGACACCCTCGGCAGCTCTAATGATGTGTTTAGGGTGATTCTGTAAGATAGCACATGCCTGATAGTTGGGATGAAAATGGTATTTGAAACTGTGTATGGGAAACACATTTTGAAGTTACGTATACACATGTATGGAAGTATTGAAAAGAAAACGATAAAGTAATACCTACTGCTTACATCTGTTTAAAAGGAGAGATATTTGTGGATAGGGATCAGAAGAGATAATACAATATAATTAGGTGACTTGTCTACCTTGTTTGTGGAATCTTTTTTAGGTAAAGATGTTTAAATGTACAGTAGAAATCTAGTCATTAAGTAACAGTGTAGAAATGAAAAGTGTTAATTTAAATTTGAAGAACGCTTGAAAATGGAGAGAGTATAATTATATACATATATGCAAATTAATGTGAATACTGTATAGATACTGAAAACTCTAGATGTTGTACTGAGGAAAAAAATATTTATGAAGACAACTTCTGAATTCTGAAACATATCAGTTACCAAGTAGAAAGTGTTCCTAACAAGTGCTATGTTACTTTATTATTACAGGCCAAAGAGTGTGGCCAGATGCAAAATAAGTGGCTAATGATAAACATTCAAAATGTACAAGACTTTGCATGCCAATGCCTCAATCGTGATGTATGGAGCAATGAAGCTGTGAAGAATATTATCCGGGAACATTTCATTTTCTGGCAGGTGAGGAGAGTTAATCAAAACTTTTGTGGCATTTTATTTCTATAGTATGGATGTTGGGGAAGAAGCATTAGGTTATAAAATGGGGAAAAAATTAATAACAGTTAAATTGTGACATATGAAAAATTAAAACCACCTATAATGGCTGAAATAGTAAGGGCAAGTGAAAATAAGGGCAGCAATGAAGAACTCCTAAGGGAAGGAGGAAAGAAAGAACCATGGCATGTAAACCATATAATACTCATATCTCAGAAGAGTTTATATATGTATATATATTTTTAAAGATTTTATTTATTTATTTGACAGATCACAAGTAGGCAGAGAGGCAGGCAGAGAGAGAGAAGGGGAAGCAGGCTCCCTGCTGAACAGAGAGCCCAATGCGGGGCCCGATCCGAGGACCCTGGGATCATGACCTGAGCCGAAGGCAGAGGCTTTAACCTACTGAACCACCCAGGCTCCCCGAGTTTATATATTTTGAACAAATGTACAACTATACTGTTCAGGAGAAATATAACAGCCACATAAGTAGTTTAAAGTTTTCTAGTAGCCACATTTAAAAAGGTCAAAAGAAATAAGTGGAATTACTTTTAATATATTTTTAAGATTCACTATTTGTCATACAAAATTAATATTAAAATATTGAGTGTTTTTGTTTGTTGGTGTTTAAATCTTTAAGATTTGTTGTGTATTTTTAAACTTAGCAGTATCAAACTAGCCACATTTCAGGTACTTCAGTACCGCATGTTCTAGTGGCTACTGTAATTGACAGTGCAGTTGGAGAAGTTCTTGGAATAATGGAAAAACATTGACTAAGGTCTGGATTTTAGCTTGAGTTTAATACTCCCATCTGAATGTCCTTAGACTTGTCACTTAGGGTCTTGCTGGTTATATTTGCTTTTTATATGAATCATCAGGCTAAAGTTAGATGACCTTGCCCTGATTTTTTATTTTATGAAAAGTTAACTGAAAATAAAAGACTTCTGAATGAACTTAATTCTTTAACCAATGCAAGTTATGCTGTTGTTGTTAATTTGCCTTTTCATGTGTTGCAGGCCCCTAAATTCAGTATGATTTTTCTGAATGGTAACCTTTTATTCAGCATCTGTTGATTGGTTATCTCTTTGTCTAGCGCTATGCTAGGAACTCAAGCATATAATCTTAATATATTATGATTTCTTTTTTAAAGATTTAATTTAATTTATTTATTTGACAGACAGAGATCACAAGTACGTAGAGAGACAGGTGGAGGTGGGGGGTGGAAGCAGGCTCCCTGCTGAGCAGAGAGCCCGATGTGGGGCTCAAAGCCGAAGGCAGAGGCTTTAACCCGTTGAGCCACCCAGGCACCCCAATATATTGTGATTTATTAAGATGCATACAATTGAGAGGAATTACATAGGTGGACAGAGAAACAGGAAGAGCAATAAACTGGGAAGGGAGGAAGAACAGATTAATGTTTCTGTAAGTTTCCAGAGGGATTGAGGGCAGGAAGTTGAGGGATTGACACCAGATCACTTTCATTTTCTATTTAATGTAGTAAGATTCTAACACATACCAAAGGTATATTTGGATAATTAATTGCTGTTGGTATATAACAAGGATGTAGTTGACACTTAATTTTTAGAAACTGACCTTTTTTTAATATCAATGATTTAACAGGTTTATCATGACAGTGAAGAAGGTCAGAGATACATACAGTTTTATAAGCTGGGGGATTTCCCCTATGTTTCCATCCTGGATCCACGGACAGGTAAGATTTATGTCTGCTTATAGTCTTTAGCCTCTCATTTATCTTTCTTTTTCTCAATAATTGATCTTTAATATTTGACTTGGATCCAATTTTAGTTATTTGTAATAATTTAGATAAAGGGGTTTTGTTCATGCCCTTGAGAAATGTTTAAATATCTGTGAAGTATGTGTTTAAGAGTCCGTTTCTGTTAACTTTGGGAGATGGTAGTATTTTATATTTTTGTACAGTTCTGTTCTTTCAAAGAATAGCTTTTTATCTTTCTTGTCCTTTTATAAGGGATCCCCTTAGGTTTCCTATCCTTAAAATATTAAGATTTTTCAATTACTGGTTGTAATCCCACCAGAGAAGCAGAGGGTAGAGCTAGTTTTATTATTTTAAGTGAATTTCATATAGATAGTGCTTTGTCTGAATCTCTTCTTAAATGGCAATTAGTGATATCAGCAGATAATGTAGCTCCCCTGCTGTGATGGTTGGGAGTCTCTTAGGTTGGTTATAATTAATGTATCCTCTAGTTTATGAAGACACAATGTAACTTATGCTGGTGAAAGGTAGAGTGTATGTTCCCATACAAATTTTAATTATACATGTGCCAAAGAAATATTTAATGAGAATGTTCAGAAAGAGTGTTGATTTTATTATATATCCTGGTTTTCAATTTTTAGGTCAGAAGCTAGTAGAGTGGCACCAGTTAGATGTGTCTTCTTTCTTGGATCAAGTGACAGGATTTCTGGGTGAACATGGGCAACTGGATGGACTTTCTAGCAGTCCCCCCAAAAAATGTGCCCGTTCAGTAAGTATGACTGAGAAGTGGTGATGGGCAGTTAAGTGTAATTATATATAAATGTGTTGTGTAAAATGTTTTGAGTAAATGTAATATAAGTTTTGGACAGTTAGTTTGTCACTGTACGGCATCTTAGACACCCTCCTTATATTTGGATAATTTCCCACGTAAGAGTTCAGTCTTTAAAGTGAAATTATAAGATTCATATTTCTAGTCTCCTTTGTAGTTAGGGTTCAGGCATGTGACCTGAGACCCGGATATAGAAGTAAACAATGCGTGTAGCAGCGGACAGGACAACTCCTGTGGCAAGCCCAGTGACAGAGGAGTCCAGTTCTTCAGGGGCAGCACTGCCAGGACTTTTGGTATCCAAGTCTCAGCAGCAGTGGAAATGGTATTTTTCCTAGACAGCACTCATGGTGAAATAGCTGGGTATTATTATTGGTTATATGGCTTTGGGACCTGGCTCTCCAGCCCACCTAGAGATTATTTCTATATTTAATTTCTATAATATGCTATTATGAGGCAGACCTGTTTGATAATTGGAATCAGGATTACTGGCATGTAAAAGAGCTTCAAAGATATGGGACTCTCACATTGGTTATAGGAGCTATTTGGGTTTGATGGCAGCGAGAATAAAATTAGTTTCAGAGGATATCACTTTAGCCGTCCATATCATGCAGTTGTACTGTTTTTTGTTATCACCTAGAGTAAAGTACCCACAGGCACAAAATGCTATGAATGCTATGGGTGCTTGTCACGGAGTGGTGTAGAGTTCTTTTCTCCCCCCTTACAGAAGTTTTATTTGGGTAGACATAGTATTGCGGAACTAAAACCTTGTTTCATCTTTATCTATAAATGCAGTATTTTGGGGGTTTTTTTGTTTTGTGTTTTGGTTTTTTGGGGGGGTTGCTTTTTCTCATTACTCAGAGAAGTTTTACTTAAGTAAAATTCTTTTTTTAATATATATTTTATTTATTTATTTGAGAGAGAGAGAGACAGCCAGAGAGGGAATCACAACCAGAGGGAGTGGGAGGGGGAGAAGCAGACTCCCCACAGAGCAGGGAGCACGATGCAGGGTTTGATCCTATGACCCTGGGATCATGACCTGAGCGGAAGGCAGACACTTAACAACTGAGCCACCCAGGCACCCCTTAAGTAAAATTATTTTTTTTTTTTTTAAGATTTTATTTATTTGACAGATAGAGATCACAAGTAGGCAGAAAGGCAGGCAGAGAGAGAGAGAGGAGGAAGCAGGCTCCCTGCCGAGCAGAGAGCCCGATATGGGGCTCGATCCCAGGACCCTGAGATCATGACCTGAGCCGAAGGCAGAGGCTTTAACCCACTGAGCCACCCAGGCGCCCCGTAAAATTCTTTTTTAAAGCATAAAAAACTCCAGAGAGTTTTTATAATTGCCTTAAGAGAGTCTCTTATCCTTTGTAGTCGGAAGGCTGACACTTTGAAAAACCAGACCCTGGGCTTGTGAATTGCTGAATTACAACAATGTAAATTGAGTTTACTTCACCAAATCTCTTAAAAAAGTAAGCCTTTTAGTGGGAGAGTGGAACCATAACATTGGACAAATACATAGGGGTGATTCAGGTAACTAGTACCTCAATCTCCACATCTGAAACTAAATTGAATGATCAACTGTGTGCAAGAGAAACACCAGCAAATAATGTCTTAAACAAGGAAGACATTTGTTTTCTTAACAAGAAGTTGACATAGGCAGTCTAGGACATGACTCCTGTGGATGTCATCAGGGAACCAAGTTCCCCCTCCTGCCCCCATCCCCTCCTTTATTCTTAGTATTGGCTTTTTGTTTTCATGTTCACAGTATAAATGCTGTGCTCCCAGGCATTATATCCAAGCATGGGCAAGGAAGAAGGGAGTAGTGCCTCTATACAAAAGTAAACAGCTACAGATAAGAATTCTGCTTACTTTAGCTGGACACATGTCCTTGCACAAACACAATTGAGGTTCTGTTAAGGAGGCAAAGAAGACTGAATGTGAGATAGGAAACTAGTACTGTCCATCATAGTGTCATTCTTTAAAATGAACCTACAATGGTACTCAGTGTTATTATCTGTAGTCCATCTAAGCCATTGCATGTCATATGGGCACATCTGTTTGCTTTTGTGTGTGTGATAAGTTAGCCTTAAGTTTATTTTTATTTTTTTTTTATTTTTAAGATTTTATTTATTTGATAGAGAGACAGCAAGAGCAGGAACACTAACAGGGGGAATGGGAGAGGGAGAAGCAGGCTTCCCACTGAGCAGGGAGCCCGACACAGGGCTCAGTCACAGGACCCCGGGATCATGACCTGAGCTGAAGGCAGATGCTCAACAACTGAGGCACCCAGGCGCCCCTTAAGTTTATTTTATTTAAAAAAAAAGTTATAGGGGCACCTGGGTGGCTCAGTTGGTTAAGCATTGACTCTTGGTTTCAGCTCAGGTCATGATCTTGGGATCATGAGATCAAACCCCACGTCTGGCTTTGTGTTCAGCAGTCTGCCTAGGATTCTTTCTCCCTCCATTTTTCCCTCCCCCTCTGCTCCTCCCGTGCTTTTGCTCATGTGTTCTCTCTTTCTCTCTCTAAAATAAAATAACATCTTAAAAAAAATTACAGCTTTATGAAGTACAGTTAATGTGCAATAAATAGCATGTTTAAAATTGACAAGTTTTGATTTTTGATAATGAGGACCTTTTTATGTGCTTTTATGCTATCTCTGTTTTGGTAAAGTGTGTACTCAGATCTCTGGCTTATTTTTTTATTGAGTTGTTTATCTCTTACTGGGTTTTAAGAGTTCCTTAGGTAATAAGCCTTTGTTGGGTATATGGTCTGCGTATATTTTCTCCTAGTCTGTTACTTACTCATTTCATAATAGTCTTTTGAAGAACAAATTTTTAAATTTTCATGAAATCCAGTTTATAAACTTTTATATTTCATGCTTTTTGTCTCTTATCTAAGAAATCTTTTTTTATTAATTATTTTTATTAACATATAATATATTATTTGTTTCAGGTATACAAATCTATGAATCATCAGGCTTATAAATTTCACAAGCACTCACCATAGCACATACCCTCCCGACTGTCCATAACCCAGCCACCCTCTCCCTACCTCTCCAACCCCCAGCAACTCTCAGTTTATTTCATGAGATTAAGAGTCTCTTATGGTTTGTCTCCTTCCCAATCGCATCTTGTTTCATTTCCCCCCCATCCTCCACGACCCCCCGCCCTGCCTCTCGAATTCTCCATATCAGAGAGATCATATGATAATTGTGTGGACTCTTTTCGATTGATATACATACCTTTCTTTACACAAATATTTTCTGTCTTAATGATTACTGTAGCTTTATAAGTCTTGAAATTGCATGGTATAAATTTTTCAACTTTGTTCTTTACAGTTGTTTATTTCAGGTCCTTTATGTTTCCATACAAGTTTTTTTTTTTTTAATTAAAATTTTTTTTTAATTTTTAACATGGGAAGGATCTATAAGCTTTATTTATTTATTTACTTGTTTGTAAATTGATTTATTTATTTTAGTAATCTCTGCACTCACTGTGGGGCTCAGACTCACAACTCTGAGATCAAGAGTGACATGCTTTTCTGACAAAGCACCCCAAGAACCACATAAGTTTTAGAATCAGTTTGTCACTTTCCACAAGGAAAGCTGCTGGGATTTTGACTGGATTTACATTGGCATTATGGATCATTTTGGAGAAAATTGACATCCTAACAATACTGAGTATTCAAATCCATGATCTCTCTATTTGTCTTAAATTTCTCTCAGCACTGTTCTACAGTTTTTGTATATTGCCATTGTAGCTTGCAGCCTTGCTAAATTTACTTACTAGTTCTAGTAACTTTTTTGTAGATCCCTTAGGATTTTCTGTGTAGATGGTCGTGTTGTCAGCATATGAAGACTTCGTTTATTTCTTCCTTTCCATTCTCTATATCTTTTTCTTAGGTAGGACCTCTAGTACAAAGTTAAATAGAGGTAGTGAGATTAGACAGCCTTGATTTGCATCCGGTAGTGGGGTGAAAATATTCACTCTCTCACCACTAACTTTGATGTTAGCTGTTTATCAGGTTGAGGGAAGTTTCCTTCTCTTTCTAGTTTACTGAGTTTTTATCATGAGGGAATTTTGTCAGAAGATTTTTTTACATCTGTTCAGATGTTCATTGGTTTTCTTTTTTATTGAATTCTGTTGGTTGACTTTTTAATGTTAAACCAAACTTGCATTCCTGGGCTAAAACCCATTTGGTTATCAGTGCATTACTTCCTTATGTGTTGTTGGGTTTGATTTGCTAAAATTTTGTCAAGAATTCTTGGGTCTGTGTTCATGAGAGATATTGGTTTGTAGTTTCTTTGTCTTTTGTTTTGTCTTCCTCATCATATATTTGACTGGTTTTGGTATAAGGTTAATGCTCGCCTCACGATGAATTGGGAAGTGTTTCTTTCACTTCTGTTTTCAGGAAGAGTTTGTATAAAATTGATATATTATTATTATTATTATTTAAGATCTTATTTGAGAGAGTTTAAAAATGAATGCGGGTCATGACCTGAGCCAAAGGCAGACAGTTAACCAACTGAGCCACCCAGGCGCCTTAACTGTTAAATTTCTTATGACTTGTTTGACTTTATTTTTTTGGTTTAACTGTTTTCTTTTTCTTTCCACCCATGTTTTATGACTGTATCTCTCAGGAGAGCCTTATAGATGCAAGTGAAGACAGCCAGCTAGAAGCTGCCATCAGAGCCTCCTTGCAAGAAACACACTTTGATTCAACACAGACAAAACAGGATAGCCGCTCAGATGAAGAATCTGAATCTGAACTTTTTTCTGGCAGTGAGGAGTTCATATCCGTTTGTGGCTCTGATGAAGAAGAGGAGATAGAGAATCTTGCCAAGTCCAGAAAATCTCCCCACAAAGATTTGGGGCATAGAAAAGAGGAGAATAGAAGGCCACTGACTGAACCCCCAGCCAGAACTGAGCCTGGAGCAGCCACAAACCACCAAGGATTGCCAGCCGTGGATTCAGAAATATTGGAAATGTCACCTGAAAAACCAGATGGAATAGTGGAGGGCATAGATGTAAATGGTGAGTTATATTCTAGACCTGCTTTACTTAAAACTTGGATGTTACTGAAGGGGTTTATTTATTTAAGTTAGTCTTCTGTCTTAAGTTCTTACTATCTTTTTCTTTTTTTTAACCCTTCCTTTAGGACCAAAAGCACAGCTGATGTTGCGGTATCCAGATGGAAAAAGGGAACAGATCACTCTTCCAGAGCAAGCTAAACTGTTGGTAAGTATATCCAGTTGGAGGTGTTTACTCGAAGCAGAGAAAGTAATTAATTGGCATAATTGGCTTTATGATTCTTTGAAATAGATGGTATTCAGTCTGGCCTTTAACTGGAAACTTTAACTGTGGTGAATCTTTGGATTACTTTATTTCCTTCTTAAATTATCTTAGGCAAGTCACATAGGATTTGTTCAGTCAAGATTTTCTATTTCATGGCTGCATGGGATAGAAACCCAACGAAATTATACCTGGAAAGGGGGAAAGCAGGGTTACTTGAAGATTACAGTGGGGTTCCTGGGTGTCCTAGTAGCTGAACCTGCAAAGTAGTTAAGAATCAAAATTGTTTTTCCGTGTGTTTCTCTCATGGGGCCTGTTTTATTTCCCTTTTATGATATTCTGCTTCACACCATTCTTCTCTCTATATACTGGGGTTTTTGTTTAACTCTCGACTTGGACATGGTTCATTGTAGTGATGCTGAGGGCCTTTTCATCTAAAGTCCACAGCTAATGGGCTTTCCTGTGTTTCTGACTCCTGGAAAAGAGAATGGGTCTGACTAGCTTGCCTAAACCTATGAGTGAATCACCCTTGGGTCAGGTGTCCATACCTAGCCACTTGCTGTGGCTGGAGAGAATTAATCTGATTATTCAAGACTGTATGACTAAAGTACAAGAAGGTTCTGGTCACTGGTGCTGATACCCAGAACTGTCTTCCTGGTCTAGTATTTGGGTGGGAATGGGAGATGAGATTGTGGATAGAACAAGTCTAGATTACTTCTTTGAGAAGTTTGGTTGTGAAGCTAGAGGGGGAGAATGGACAATCAGAGGGGAAAAAAATAATTGAAGGAGAGACTGAGCATGATAGTTAAGTCTGATGGGAAGCATCTATTGAGTGAGATATTAAAGGACCTATAAAAGGGGATATCGTAGTGGCACAGTTTCTGAGAAGGCAAGAAGGGATTCAGTATACAGGTGGCATGAATGTTTGTAGGTACACTGAAGGACATATCTTTGATAAAAAAGAAAAAAATTGTTAAAATGTTTAAAAAGAGGACAGTAATTTTACAAATAGAAATTGAATTTATTTGGAAGACAAACACAGTCCTGTATATTTCAGTATCACTTAATGGCCCTAAATTATTAGATACAGTTTTATTATCTACCCATCCAGAGTTATATTGGCTCTTCTACAGAGTAAGGTTTGGTTATGTGAAAGCATAACTTAAGCTTGGGGTATCTGGGTGGCTCAGTCAATTAAGCATCTGCCTTCAGCTCAGGTCATGATCCCCAGAGTTCTGGGATTGAGCCCCACATCAGGCTCCCTACTCAGCGGGGAGTTGCTTCTCCCTCCCCCACTGCCCCTCCCCTAGCTTGTGCTGTCTCTCTTGCTCATTCTCTCTCAAATAAATAAATAAAATCTTAAAAAAAAAAAACTTCATATCTTATATGATAGAAATGAATATAAAATACTTAATGCTTTAAAATACTTTTTTTTTTTTTTGCTTTAATATATTCTTTCTTTTTATTTCCATCTAACAGCTTTGTCTTTCTCTTATTTTTCATAGGCTTTGGTGAAGCATGTCCAGTCCAAAGGATACCCAAATGAACGTTTTGAACTTCTCACCAACTTCCCTCGAAGGAAACTGTCTCATCTGGACTATGACATTACATTACAGGAGGCAGGCCTTTGTCCTCAAGAGACTGTCTTTGTACAGGAAAGAAATTAACATCATGGCCTGACCTCTCTCAGCTTACCCCTTTTTTCCCTTTCCTGTGAGATACCGTGTCACTAAGTATGCATTTTGGCTCATAGGACCATAGAGCCAAAGTTGGGCAAGCAAGTCACCTGCCTTCTCTTTTATTTCTTGCTCTCTCCTATGTTCATTCTCTTTTCCCTCCTTCCCCCACCTTTTCAGTCCTCTTCTGTTTTCTTCTTTTTCCTACTATTCTTTCTTTCTTACCTAATCTGGTGACCAAATGGAAGTGTAAGGATTAGACCTCCTAGTACTGGCAGCAGGAAATGTGTGTTCCAATAAGTGGTCTCTTGCACAGCACTTTTTTGGGATCAAATGATGATGTTACTCCTCAGACTCCATTGGTAAAGGAATGGCTAGATTCAGAATAAGAACAACCTCCCTTTTTTGTAAGCCCCATTTTTGGTAGGGAAAAGAAATTCTATAACACATGTTTTGTTTTGTTGTTCATGTAAGAAATATCACGTGACAAAAATATCTAGGTCTGTTTACATGGAAAAAGCATCCCTTATAATTATTGCTCATTGTACTTAAAATTTTTTTCAATGGATTCACATGTTCCCAGCTAGAATTATTTCCATGGTATGTGTTATTGGCAGAATAAGTGTTAAGTGTAGAGTGAGTAGTGTGGGGTGGCTTTCAGTATCCTAGCCTGAAACAGCTTTCTTCATTATTACTTTATAAACTCTATTGATCCTGCTAGTCCTGAAATGGACATTTAGTGAGGCTATTGTGGTGATTGGGATAGGAAGGTACTTGCTGTTTTTGCCAGTACAGCATATTAGTTCCTTTGGCCCTTCCATTGTTTGGGTCCACAGGTGATCTATGGGAAGGCAGCTGTTCAATAATCATGCAGTACAATGGCTTGTAGTTGTAACCACTGTGGTTACTGATTGTCCTATGTGTTTTAAGGCATACTTATGTATGTCCTGGGGGAAAAGATGCAGCTGAGAGTTGCTAACCATGTTCCTACGGTTAGAAAGAATAATTCATTTTTTTACCCCTGGTTGGAATAGTTTCTAAAAGGCTCTGGTGAGTGAATGAACTTAATTCCTCTACTCTTTTCTTGCAAAAGATATCAAAACTGAAAGCCTCTGTAAGGGGAAGACCTGTAAATTCAGTTGATAAGACCACATTTAGTAAGGGAGGTAGAAAAGATTATCAGCAATCTTCAGATGATATGGGCTTTTTCTGCCAACAAAGCCACAAACAAAATGTAGTTGGTGAAAGCTTTTTTCAGTATTATTTAGAAGAGGCCATCCTGAATCTATATAATACTGTTTGACTTCTCACCTTCACTGTATGCCCAATTCTTGTTTCGAGCTTTAAATAGAGTCCTCTGAAGGAGTAGTAATGATCCTGGTGGCAAAAATCAGAACTTTAACCTTGTGATATAGAATGGGCCTATTTTGTCAATTGGGGATTTGGATCAGTTGTTTCTTCTACTTGAGGAACATAAATTGCTATTGCTCAGAGACCTTTATGTTCCCATCTACTTTAAGATCATTCTCTTGGCAACTAGGGGATTAAAAAAAAAGACGGTTATGTGTTCCTAGTACACAATTAGAGAATATGGTTTCTAATGGTTGGATTTAGAGGGACCCTTCCTAAAGAATGAGTTATGTATCTCCTCAAGGAAATCATGGAAAATTCTGTTTATTCTCCAGTGAGTCCTTTTGAATTAATGTTCTTACATTTTTTTCTAAGTCTGTGTAAGTGCTTATGTATAAGTATATAATTGTATAAATATTTATAAATATATTTATATAATTACAATTTCATTTATACCTTGAGTCAAAGTTCTCTCTTTAGATTGGTGACTGAATAATACCATTTTGGTGTTTTTTCATAGGCTCTCGAGTCACTAGCAGCTTCTGATTTATTGAGGAAACATGGTTTTCACGTTAATTCCTCAATTGTATCTCTGAACTTGGATAATATACTTGCTATCTGAGGAATAGAGCTTATAAACTAGCAAAGGTCCAGTAGAGGGTTAAAAAACTGTTGGTAGTAGACAAGGTCAGAAATCTAAAAATTCAGGGAGGCACAGGGTAAGAACTGAGGGTATGCCCAGCTTTGGTGCTCTGATGGCACCTATCTCCACTCTCAGCAGAGTCACAGCTAAAGCCCAAATCTGTCAAAAATGTGAAGTCAAGAATTTTCCCTGTGGGACTCTTTCATTCTTTCACTTACTAACTTCTCTTTATAAAGCATATCTCAAGAACCTGAGACATGTTCATTAATGATAGGATGTAGTTCTACCTTTTTGATGTCAGCCGTGGCATATCCATTTCTGAGAAACCAAAGTGACTTTTTCAACTTGGATTACTGTGAGATGACCGAGTATATATAAAATGATTTAAGTAAGCATATCAAAGACTTAGGGCATGAGATACTGATCCAACTTAGATACAGCTGGTGTGTTTAGAGTACAAGATGTAGAGGATTTTATTTTATTTTGAGGCAGAAGTGTAATTATCCTGGGCTTGCTATCGAGGCCTGTGGGGGAGGGATTATGGATTGTACACGGGAAGAGTAAATACGGAGAATTGCTTCACTCATGAACTTAATTCACTAAAGAAGTAAGCTTCCTCCAGTTTGTCTTATTTTCTCTGCAAATTCCTTTGCTCTGTGGAGGAGAGATTTTAAATGAGCTAGTAGGATTGGTTAAAAATAGTTGTTCCTTATAATTATTGGAAACAGCTGGAAAGAAAAGGTAGGGAGGAAAAGGACAAGATAGACTGAGAGTGACAAGAAACAAATACAGGGAGATGGAATGAAAACTAGTAGGGGAAAAAAGTGACAGAAAACACCTTTTGAATTTGATTTAGAAAGGAACCAGAGAAGAGAGAGAACAGCCAAATGGGGAAAGAATGGGGAACTAATTTTGAATAACTAGCATGTGCTAGGTATTTCCTGTACATTTTTTCCTTTAATCTTCCAAAGAACTCTACAAAATGTAAATTCTGTATTCTCCCCATTTTGTAGGTAGGACAAAATTAAAGTTTAGAGAACCTGTTCAGGATGTCACAGCTAGTAATTGGCAAAATCAAAATTGGGATCCAGAGACCATGCTTTTTTCACTCCCTTGCTGTTTCCTACAACAAGGGGATAAGTTTACCCAAAAGGTTATCTTGCTGTTATTTGGCTCTGTAAATTATCATTTGTTTTCATTTCCTTAAGGCTTGTGGGATTTGCACTATATCTATAAATTCTTATTTACACCACTGTTTTGAGGGACTGATTATTGCTTTTTTAAAAAATGATGCACTGATGAAAATGTGAAAGAGAAATATGTGGCATTATTTGCCAAGAATAAATGGAAAGGATAAAAAATAATTTTATCTTTTTTTAACCATTTTTGGGAAAAGATATAGTTATCTTTTCTTTGTCCCTCCCATATCAGATTATTGAACTCTCTGTGTGTATGTTTTTAGATCTCCTATAACATTTTACTTCCTCGACTCCAGAAAGTCGACAAGTATATATTGAGTCCCTTAATCAAGGTTGGAAATATCTTGAAGTCTAATACCTGATTTCTTCTGTTTTATCCAGTTGGAAAGATAGACTACACATGAGATAATCGAAGAACATGTAAATGCTTACCTTTCTGGTGCTGAACTATAATTACAATAAAAGTTTAGAAAGGGGAAAGACTTGTGTAGGCTTTCATTAGGAAAGTCCATTAAATAAATAAATAAATAAATAAATAAATAAATAAATAAAACTGAAAAGTGGCAAACACTGTAGCTCGAAGTTTTTGACTCACCTGTATTCATTCTTCAGTTCCACCTTTTGTAACTACTAGACTTGGGGCATGATGTTTATCAGTAAGGTTACACCCAGCACCCAAGTAGGGAAGGATTATTGACCCTAGGACTAAGATTTTAGCTAGCAAGGATCTCACTTGGACACTTAGGAAAATACCAGAGGAAGCTACTAGCAATTGGAAAGTGGAGGAAAGATTTTATTTCTCTCCCCAGGTACAAATCAGATGTATAAAGGGGCACTATATGTAGGCATAAGTGCACTTGGATAACAGCTCTGCCAGTAATAGAGAATTGGGCTAGATCAATAGTTCTCAGTCTTTTCAAGTAAAAGGGCTTAAAATATTAAAATTTGGCAAGAGTAAGGAGTTGTGGGTTTAAGTATTAATAACATTAAGTCCATAGATGAAGAAAATATAGATGTGTGTATGGAATTGCAGACCCTTTACAAAAACTAGGAACCCACAGATTGTAGATCACAGAATTAGATTATCTTTGAAGTCCTTTCCACTCTAAAATTTTATGCTTCTAGTTTCTCCTCTTTATATTTTCCCTAGACTAATTAAAAATTCTCTTGTTAATCAGTTCCTGTGCTTTTTAATCTGTGTCCAGGTTTTATTTGCCCAGTAACTTAATCTAAACTCACTGTGGTAACTAAAATCTCCAAAAAGGAGAGTATAATAGTTCTAGATCTAGTAATGATCTTTTAAATACATTTCATTAATTTTAAAAACTTCATGCTGTGTTTCTCCCATCCAAGTACTAACCAGGCCCGACCCTGCTTAGCTTCCGAGATCAGATGAGATTGGGCGCGTTAAGGGTGGTATGGCCGTAGACCATGCTGTGTTTCTAATCGGTGTTAAGTATGACTAAAATGTAATCAATGAGAACCAAATATTTCATTGACACCAGAGTTAAATTTTATTTTTACCTGTGTGCTTAAACAAAGCACTTTATTGGCTGAGAAGTTGTTAGGAAATTGATTTATATAAGTTGTAGAATTCACACTTGATTTTGGCAGAAACAACTTTTCAAGATTCAGTTAGGCTGACTTTCAAAAATACTTCTTCTTTCCCAGAGTGTATCTCCATTATGTCATTCATATTCTCTCTCTCTCTCTCTCTCTCTTCCTCTTTCGCTTAACTGCTCAATAGTAAATCATAGGATACAGGTTGATGAATAAGTGATGCCTTGTGTAAAACTAATTGAGGGTAGGAAGAACCAACCCTTCTGATGAACATGGCAGTTTTCCAATATTACAAGCCTTGATGAAAAGGCTACTTAAAGACAGCTGTGTCCTATGAATATTCAACTTCATTGATTTGCCTTGCCTTGACTTGGAACTTGGTATTGCATTGTACACAGTTTAGAGTAGTGGCGAGAATATTCTTTCGTACAGAAAATAACCAACAGAACACCACAGCACTATCTTGATTTCTCCTGTTCTATAGAAATTCAGTAGTTCAGTGATGGTTATTTTGGTCTTTGACTCAACTGTGTGCCAACACTGCTAGAGAGACAGCTTAGAATCAAGAATATTTTTTATAGAGATTATGATACCCCTTGATAGTTTTCCTGTAAAATGAACTTGTGATTAAATTTTTGGATGTGATGAGACCATTAATTAGAAAATCTTTCCTTCCTACTTTCTCTTTTACTTTGCCACTCTCCATTCTTGATTCTTTTGGACATTCATTCACTGAATATTAGTCGTGATTTTTAATGAAATTAGCTATGTTTAAGAAATTCCATTGCTAAGTTTGAATATGTAACATTTAAAAATTTTTTCATTAATATATAAGAGAACAATTTGAAGCAATGTTTTTATAGCTCATTTGCTCTCTCTACCTAAAAATTCTCTTACTCCAAATATAGAATTGCTAGCACCGTGATACCCCTTCCCTTTCTTTGGCCTGCAGAATGCTGTTGAACTATGTAGAATCTCAGTCATTCTCATAAACATAATTTTTGGTTCAAGCCTTTCTTTGCCATATGGTCTCCAAGTAGAGTTGGCTAATCCAATATGAACTACTTCAATAAAATGATTTAACATTTCTGAAAAGTATTTTCAAGAGATGGCCAGATTTACTTGGATTAGAGATACAAATACCAATGGTAGTATTTTGCCCAAGAACAATCCACATTAATCTCTAAATACAAGAGGTTGCCTTGTACTTAACTTGCTGGCCACAAACAGCAAATTTTTGTTGTTTGCTTATTGATATTTTCTGTATAGATATCAAAATGCCCTGAGATTTTATATCCCTTACAGGGTCACTTAAGTTTTCAAATAGGAAGAATAGTCAAGCTATGTGAGACTGAACATTAAAATTTAACATTAAAACATTAAAAGTCTAACTGGGCTACCATGAATCATTCATTTATAAGATGTGGTAAATAAAATGGGAAGCATTTCAAATCACTGGATAATTCAGACCTGGAATTATTTTCCTTTTCTTAAAATCTTTTTTATTTGCTTTTTGCATGGACTCAGTATGAGCATCTTAACTGAAAAGGGAGAGATTCTTGATCTGGAGCTATTTCCTGCCATTCTGCTTTTTTTTCCTTTTGTCAAACTTGATGGCTTTAGAAGAATACAGGTCACTAGGGTCTTTTTCAAATTAGTGACATTGGAATGCTGATGCTCAGTTGGGTATCTTAATGTTTTCAACAAAATGGATTGATAGTATGTTTTTCAGATTTCTGTGTTCTTAATAATGGAAAATATCAATAAATTAAATGGTGTGATTTAAAATATTAAATTAGTTTTTTACCCTAATCATATATGTTCTCAACAATAACTTTTTGATGATTTATTGCCATGTAAGTTAAACTTCACATAAAGTTAATCATTGTCACCAGAAAATCCCCTTTTACCTGCTATTAGAATGAAAGTAGCATGTGACCTCCACTTTCTAGTTAATGAGTGTAGCAAGCTTGTACTGAGGACTGTTTATCTTAACATTTTGGGACTTGGGCCTTGTTACTTTTCTCATGTTTGTCCCTTCAGTTTTGGAAAGGCTATTTAAAACTCTTGCTGGGAAACGGACAGTAAAGCTATGATATAATCCTCTAGTCTTAGATACAGAGAAGTGAGTACCAGCTGATGCTAACGTGATACTTAGACTTTGAGGGGCTCTCATCCAAACTTTGGCATGAATCTGTTAGATACAATTTTTTCACTCCTTTAAAAACTCTTTTCTAGAACAGTTTTCCTTTCGATTGTTAACAACTTCTAAGCATCTGGTGTCTTTTTTTTTTTTTTCTAAACCCTTTAAGAAAAGTCCTTTTTCGAGTAGGTATTGATTGTTCCATGGATACTCTCAGGAGTGTTTGTAGGCTCTGTGCATGCTTTGTACGAGTTCAGTTTGAATAATGCATTTTGAATCACGTGGGATGTCCCGATTCTGGCATGTCCTCACTAATTGTGTTTTTTAAACATTTTTCATGTCATTTTCCAAACCTCACTTGCCATCTTATTCAGAGAGGTTAATCAAGGAATGAAATTTGTTTGGGGAATAGGGATGGGGGTGGGTTGGGGACTCGAGTGAAGTCAGCTTGGGGTGTTTGCTTTAAAGTGTTTCACAAGCAGTTCCTAACAGTATTTAGAGATTCCCTGGGAATCCTTATTCTGGACAAAGTGGTGGTCTTAGTGAGATTTGCATTTTTAATGCAGGACAGGCTCGAGATCTAATCTGTAGTGTAATTTTGTTATTGAATCTAAGAAGATAATGGACAGAGACAGTGCTCCTATTGTAGTGTTTCTAGCAAGTTCTCCCTAAAATGCACATATAGTTCTCAGTTTTCTGGGATTTTAATCCCATGGTGCTAGGAGATAATTGTTTCTGCAGCTCTTCTCAAAAGTGGGAAGAAGGGTTTGGGACCAGTGAGCAAGGGGCAACTGGATCATCCGCTAAATTCTTTTGTTCATAACGCACTAGAGACCCTCCTGTATATCTAGTAAGTGATAATTAAGGTGCTAGGGAAAGCCTTAAATTTGAAGACAAATGGAGGCAGTAGAAAATCTAAACTTGGAGAGGAGAAGAACATGCCGTTAGATAAAGCAGAGCTGTAACTGCTGGCTAAGACTCAATGGAACTTCCACTTGCTCTAAAACCAGGGAAATCTTAGATAACTGGGTGTGGTATATCTATAGGTACAAATACTCTATAGGTAAATATTTCAAAAAAAAAAGAGGGTCTTTCAGTTGATGATCCTCTGGTTTTGGCTGTACCAAATTGTGAATATTCTTGCTGTGTTGTACCCAGTTGCTTTATATTGGTACTGCAACTTGAATGGGGGGTGGGGTGGGGCATTTGGGATGGGGGAGGGAGGGGAATGGGATAAGTCTTTTGAAGACATCAGCTCACTGTGCTGAGAGAGGGACCAAACTCAAGGAAACCTCTGATCTATAAATTCAACTGCTGCATTTTTTTATAAATACATGTAAATGTCCTGTTGTAATATTTGATCTTGGAAATAAAATCAAAAACTTTTCAGTATTAGTTTTTCTTGGTGGTGTTTTTGTGAGATAAGACTCCCTAGATATTATTTAATTAATATAATTCGGGT